AAAGTTGGGCGTCAGGGTTGTATCCTCTCACCACACTTGTTCAATCTGTCTGCTGAGCAAATCACCAGAGAAGCTGGATCAAATAAAGAAGAGTGCAGGGTCAGGTTTGGAGGAAGGTTTGTTGACAACCTGTGCAGCATACAGATGACACAACCTTGCTTGGTGAACGTGAGGAGGACTTGAAGCACTTGCTGATGAAGATCAAGGATTGCAGCTTTCAGTATGGATTACAAAATCCTCACAACTGGACCAATAGGTAACATCATGATAAATTGAGAAAAGGTAGAAGTTGTCAAGGATTTTGTCTTGCTTGGATCCATAATCATGCTCATGGAAGCAGCAGTCGAGAGATCAAAAGATGCATTGCATTAGGTAAACCTGCTGCACAAGACCTCTTTAGAGTATTGAAGAGCAAGGATGTCACTCTGAGGACTATGGTGTGCCAGACCAAGCTGTGACCATCTCTATTGCCTCGTCTGCATGTGAAAGTTGGACATTGAATCAGGAAGACTGAAGAAGAATCGATGCTTTTGAATCATGGTGCTGGAGAAGGATATTTAATGTATCATGGACTGCTAAAAGGACAAACTGATCTGTCTTAGAAGTAAGGCTAGCATGGTCCTTAAAGGCAAGGATGGCAAGACTTTGTCTTACATACTTTGGACATATTGTCAGGAGAGACCAGTCCCTGGAGAAGGGCTTCAGGGTTGGTAAAATGGAGGGACAGCAAAAAAGGTGAAGGCCTTCAACAAGATGGATTGACACAGTGGCTGCATCAATGGGCTCAGGTATAGGCCCAATTGTAGGGATGACACAGGACCGGGCAATATTTCGTTCTGTTGTGCATAGGGCTGCTGTGGGTCAGAGCTGACTCGGTGGCTCCTAACAAACAAAAACCATAGTCATGAAGCTGCAGCCTCAGGGTCCCTCCCTTACAGCCTCTTCCTACCCATCAGAGAACTCACCAATGGGTTCACACAATAATGTTTTGTTGTCATGTGGGCAAAATTTCATTGGTTGGGTATTCTTTTTCTTAAAGTGGGATTCCAAAATGTCTGAGCTCAGATTGCAAAGAATTTGGATCTGCCCCTCAGCTCAGTGAAAAGCAAGCTGGCAGTTAGTATATTTTTCTCCAAACTTGGATGGTAGCTTCAGCAAGCCAGACCTCTGCTGTAAAACTCTGTTTTAATAGCATAAGATTGCAAAAAAACACATGTCTCTTTGGGTCATTTAGCTTAGGCTATTATGATTGTCACATGAAATCTTATCTGGAGAAAGGGTGCTTCAAGACCGCTCCAATGAACCAACTGTGATTTCAATAATTACCACTTAACGTCTATGAATAATTTAGCTATAACTCACATTACCTAATAAACTAGGAGAATTTGGCAATAATTCAATATACAGTTAAGATTTATTAGACCTGACTCGATTTTTTAAATTGTGTTCGAAAGAATTAAAATAATATCTTGCCCCGTTCCTTTCCCAGAATAGTTAATATCATAAAAAATATTGGGTGGCCATTATCACTGGTAGGTATGGAGATGACATTTTATCAGAACAGAACATTTACAAAAATGAACTCTTTTCATCAAAGAGCACCTTTTCTGTAGTTTACATCAAGCAACGAAAACCTCAGTGGTGTTTGCTAAAGTGACTACCAGGAAGTTTGGCAGGAAAACTGGAATTCCCAAGACAGCTTGCCACCCAAAACCACTAAGATGTTTGTGGTCCCTAGTTAACACCTGAAATGAGCCACAGAAGCAAGCCAGCGGCCAAGAGGAAATGCAGAGCACAGTCAGAGCACATGGCATCACTAGCTTTCTTTTTTGTGGCAGGGCCCTCCAGCTAGAACGTGGTTCTCTGTTTCATGATCTGCCACTCCCAGACAGGTCCGCAGGGTGCACTGCAGACAGCCAGTCTAACAGTCACAGAGACACAGATGGCCTGGGCCTCACAGAAGCTGTCGTGAAGCTGTGCTATAGTGCGTAAAGCAAAAGAGTACAGCCCAGTGCTGCTGCCTCACCCATTCAGACTCACGTTGACCCTACGTTTTATGGAGAAGTACTCTACAGGGTTTTTTTGGCTGTAATCCTTATGCAGGTTGCTAGAATTGTCTTCCACGGCATTATTGGGTGAGTTAGTAGTTTGGGCATTATTTTGGTTAGTAGTTTGGGACAAACCACCAGTGCCATTCAGGAACTTTGCCATTGTAGGTATGAGGTTGAAACTCAAACTCACTCCCACTCACTCATAGAAACCCCATAGGACAGGGTAGAAGCACCCCTATGGGGTTCTGAAACTGTAACTCTTTTTTTAATAGTTAAACTTTTTTTTTTCTGGGAAATATGCATTAATAGCTTTATTTTTTTAATTGTTTTATTAGGGGCTCATACAATTCTTATCACAATCCAAAAATACATCAATTGTGTAAAGCACATTTGTACATTCATTGCCCTCATCATTCTCAAAACATTCCCTCTCCACTTAAGTCTCTGGCATCAGCTTCTCATTTTTCCCCTCCCTCCCCGCTCTCCCCTCCCTCATGAACCCTTGATAATCTATAAATTATTATTTTGTCATATCTTGCCCCGTCCAACATCTCCCTTCACCCACTTTTCTGTTGTCCGTCCCCCAGGGAGGAGGTCACATGTAGATCCTTGTAACCGGTT